TTGACCCAGAGAACATGTCTTTTGATCTGCTCTTCACGAGTTGGGCTCTGACCGAGTGACCCCATTATGCTGCGTTCGTCATTCAGGGTCTGAACGGGTTAAGGCCCTTTTACTCTCACCGGCCTAATTTCGAGGTCCTATGAGAATACCTTCATCTATCTGTGATACTTATTCCTCTTTTGGCTCTTTCATAAGCAGATACAATATGAGGTGCATACTCAATCAATTCTTCCCTTGTGAACCAGTGATCTTCACTTGGGTTCTGATATGCAAATCTTACTTTATATTGTCGTTGGGGTCTGCCTCTACGTCCAGTTTGAAGAGTACTTTCGACAACAATTTTGTCCACATCATATTTCCCATCCATACTAGGAGGAATCGCCGATCTGCGATTGGGAAATAACTTATTCGTCACGCAAGGTAATAAGAGCTTTGAGGCGTGGAACACTGGATACGTATGCAAATGTAGAGGAATCTCAATCACATAAGGTCCATCCACGTCTCCAATCACATCTAGAACCTGCCAAGGTCCTCTGTAGGCTGGTAGCAATGTTTGAGAAATGTTCTCCTCAGGAACGAGCTCTTTAGACTTAACCCATACCAGATCACGTACAACAAACTGAGAAGGTCTTCTGTGTTTATTTGCCTGTTCTATCATTTGATGTTGTGCTTTTAGTATGTTTTCCTTTACTTTCTCAAGTTTTTTTTGATATTGGATCGCAAATTCACTTGTTCCTAGTGGAAGCTTATGCACTTGATCCTGGTTCAAACAATCAATAGGTCTATGAGGACGCCACCCCAGATGCAACTCCATTGGAGTCTTGCATGTAGACAGGTGAACAGAGTTATTATAGGCACTAGTAACTTTGGGCAAATGCTCATCCCGATCAATCTGGTCGGGACGTATGTACATACACAGCGTTTGTTGCAAAATCTTGTTCATTTGCTCGGTCTGGCCATTTGTCTCAGGGTGTCGACCTGATGATATAGTCAACTTAGAGCCATAAACGTTCATTAGTTGCTACCATTGCTCACTTGTGAACCGCGAATCTCTGTCACTTACAATCGTTAGAGGATGTCCATAGTGGTTAAAGAATTCCCGGATTACCAATTTTGTTCTTGCTTTTGCCGGTAATGCTACAAAAACAGCATACTTACTAAACCTGTCAATGATGACCATAACCTGTGTTTTTCCATTCCTGCTTTTTACTTTAGTATCCATAAAGTCAATGGACACAGAGTCTCCTGGACCTGTTGGGATTGGCGAAGGCTTCGACCAAGGGGAGGCTGGGTAGTGCTCTTATTTCTTTGGCACACTTGACAACCCTGCACATAAGCGATGCAGTCAGGTTTCATACAAGGAGGGCAAGTGTGAGAACGTAGAAGGTTAGCATAAGTCTTTCTCCATCCAAAATGGCCTTCTGTATCATGACACTCCCCCAAGATTATACTTTTAATCTCTTCCACGTCTCGAATACAAAGCCTATCATGCACATCTGTTCTTTCAAACAACAGTCCTTGCATGATCCGATAGTTAGGAAACCCTTGTGACACTTTTTGAATACGTTTATCATAGTGCCATAAACAGGATCAGTGGAATATGCATTCCTAATCTTATCTTGCAAATCGGTGCCTACATCTAGATATGTTACAATAGCACCGAAGAAATCAGATCTTCGACTTAAAGCATCGACAACAACATTATATTTCCCCTTTACTGGTTTTAGCTCAAAATCATACAAATCAATCTCAGCGGCCCACCTAGTTAGGTGTCATTCGGGCCTATGTTTTAAGCCAGCGAAGTGTCTCATGATCCGAGTACACCTTGGAAGTGGCGTCCCAAGAGATAGTGTCGCCAACGATCTAAAGCTTCGCGGAGAGCAAACAATTCCCTCTTATACGTAGAAGCGGCGACTTTCTCATTAGGCAGTCGTCGGGACATAAATTCAACAGACGTGTATCCATTACCGTCATCCTGTTGGAGCACAACGCCTATCCCGTACTGACTGACGTCAGTTGTGACGACAAAGGGCAAAGAAGGATCATCAACCTTCAAAACTGGATCATTAATTAGACATTTCTTTAGACGCTTGAATGAAGCCATACAATCTGAGTCCCACTTCCAGATGGTTTCTTTCTTCAGCAATCGGCGAAGGGGTGCAACAATTATCGTGAAGTGTCGAACGAACTTCCGATAATAGTTGGTTATCCCAAGGAACTACCGCAACTCAGTCAAAGTGCGAGGGTTAGGCCAATCGCGAATTGCTGCAATCTTAGCGTCTTTCGGTTTAATCCCATCACCATCAAGCACATGCCCCATATATAAAACCTGACGCTTAGCCCACTCACACTTCTTGGGGTTCAATTTCAATTTTGCCTCACGTAATTTATTTAGCACAAGTCGAAGGTGCTCACAATGTTCTTTCAAATCTTTACTAAAAATCAAAATATCATCAAGATAAACAACGACAAATTTATCAAGCCACTCGCGGAAAAGCTCATTCATCGTTCTTTGGAAAGTTGCAGGGGCATTCGTAAGACCAAAGGGCAACACAGTGAACTCATAGTGCCCATACCTTGTTCGAAAGCCGAAGTCTGGCTCTACCTCAATCTGATGGTAGCCAGACTTCATATCAATCTTAGTGAAGTACTTGCTGCCCTGCACTCGATCCAACAAATCGTCTATTCTCGGCAGTGATTCAACATTTTTAATTGTTATATCATTCAATCGTCTATAATCTATGCACATGCGGACCCCACCATCTTTCTTTGGTACAAATAGCATTGGCGCTCCATAAGGCGAGGAGCTAGGCCTTATCCATCCCTTTTCCGGCATTTCGTCGAGCTGGATTCGCAGTTCATCCAATTCTTTGGGTGACATTCTATATATAGGCCCCTTAGGAATCCGACTTCCTGGTACAATCTCAATGTGATGTTTAATTGGTCGTTCCACCACACCGCTTAGGGCCTCTGCCACATCTGCGAATTATTTCAAAATCCTTTCAATTTCGGGGGACTTTGCCTCTTCTTTGGCTTCTTCTTCCTTCACTGGGCACACATATGCTACAAACAGTTGATCATATAAATTATACCTTTTCACATGGCGGGTGAACGAGGGGGCACTCATACAACAATGAGCCAAGCTGCTTTCCTTACCAGATTCATGGAATAGGCGAATTTCCTTCTTTCCACCCTGCGGACTTGGGAACCAACACTCATGATCCCTTAACCTTATATCCGCATCTGCAACTTCACCCCAATCCATGCCTAAAAGAATGTCAAAGGGAGATTATCTTCCACTAAGAGAGTCAGAGAGTGGAAAACGCGTTCCACCTTCCCCTCTTCTTCGAGCCGGAGGTATATCTGAACCCCTTCAACATATTTATCCATTACAGTTACAATACTATTAGCTAGTTTACTCATTAAGGGCTCATCTAACTGTTTTACCTTAAGCCCGAGGCGCAGCTTTTGCAAACCCTTTTTACTTATATAGTTGCGCGTAGACCGACTGTCAATCATATCTCCAATTCTTACTTTATTTACTTCTAGATCTGCAATTATTAACTGTCCTCTTCGTTTTTTCATCTCAGTCCAGGCTTGGCGACGAGCGGCCAACTCATCACCCATGCCAGCGAGGGATCCACCTAGAGAGGTGCACACACTTACTACCTT